AATAAAATAAAAAAAAAGAAAAAAACAATAAAAATAATGTACAAAACTTTAAAAAATAAAAAAAAATTAAAAAAAAATTAAAAAAAAATTAAAAAAAAAAAAAAACTGTGCTGAGGGCTGCTGCCCACGCCCTCCCGAGGACAGGCTGGCGCGTAGGGCAGGACAGCGCCTCCCGTCCACCTCGTTCACCGGCTCGGGTACCGTGTGACGCTGGCTTTTCCCTACAGTCAGATCGACCGGGGAAGATACCATGTCTTCCACTCAGGACATCGAGACAGCCGTGCCCCTGCAACCGCAGACACTCGGAAAGGAGGACCCCGGGACGGCTTCCGGAAGGGGCCTGAACGCGGGGTGCGTGTCTGCGGGGGACTGAACACAGTGTGTCCTTTACTGGAACAGGAAACATTTAAATTTAAGCAGCCTGTATTTTTCAATCACACGTTGTGTGTGGCATGAGTGGATGGGGGTATGAGTATTCATGTGCGTATGTGTGTGTGTGTGTGTGAGGCCTGCGGCCTAGGGATAAAACCGCAGCAGTCTCTCCCTCAGGTGCGTCTGCAGCTGGGAGGAGCTGCCCCTCTGCTCGGTGAGTGTCCCCCACGCCCCTCTCTCTCCACCCTGTTCCTCTAGTTTTGCCGGCCTGCTGTCACCCACTCCTTCCTTCCTCTGCATTTCGGGCCAAGCCCTTTCTGGCCAGGAAACCCCAGCCCGCGACTTCTGCTGTCCTCGGATTCCGCCTGGCCCTGGGCTGGGAAAGCTAAGGGCAGAGCTGTCCAGACGGCGGGGCCAGCATGGCACCGGGACCTCCTGCCACTGCTGGCCTCGGGCGGGTGTCTTCCCGCCCGGTCCTCATTTCTGCATCCCACGATGGGCATCACACACTGCAGTCCCGGTGCTGTCAAGAAGCGGGTACGGGGCCTGCTGGAGACCCCACCCCAATATGCAGGACGCAGCAAGTCCCGCGGGGACTCAGGGAGCAGTCACTGAAGTTACACTTTTGTCCTCTGTGATTCTGTGTTTTAAAATTATGGTAAAATTCATATAGGGAAAATCACCTGTGTGTGTGTGTGTGAGAGAGAGAGAGAGAGAGAGAGAAAGAAAGACAGGGCCTCGCTGTGTAGCCCAGGCTGGACTTGAACTCACCCCAATCCTCCTGCCTCAGCCTCAAGTGCTGGGGCGATGGGCGTGCGCCCCACAGTGGGCTGAGAAATCACCGGCTTAGTGCGCTGCTCAGAGCACTCCCCGCTCTGCTCTGTAGTCCCAGAATGTTGTCACCCCAAACGGACGGACACGGCCTTTCTTCACTCCCCTTACCCCTCCCAGCCCAGCCCTCCGAGCTGTCACTGAGCACGTGGACAGCTGTCCATGCGGATTATCCGTCACCACTTTACAAGTCATCGCAAACGGGAGGCGGACGCTGGGTCTGGACCTCGGTCTCGCACGCCTGTAATCCCAGGAGGATCCCTTTTTTTTTTTTTCTGTCTGTCTGTCTGAGACAGGGTCCCACTGTGCAGTTCAGGCTGGCCTTGAGCTCACTTTGTAGCCCAGGCTGGTCTCGAACTCACAGCGATCCAGGAGCATCACTTCACCGAGGGTTCCAGGCAGGCCTGGGCTGCAGAGAGTGAGACCCTGTCTCAAAGAACAAAGACAAAAATAAAGTAAAATGATATAAAGCGAGAGGTGTCATTTACACAGAGTAAATGCCCAAACCTTGCGTTACAGGTATCTATCATCTACTATTATCTATCATTCTCATCTTCAGTGTCTATCCGTCCGTCCACCCACTCGCCTATCCATTCTCTCCAGATAGAAGCGTGGACTCTGCAGCCCTCCTCCCGGTCCCCTGCGCCCTGCCCAGTCAGCGTCCACCTCCCCCGGAGCTCCCCTCCTCTGCTTTCGCTGCAGGCGTGTTTGCCCCCGAGCGCTCCTGTGTGGCCTGTGCTCTGCCTCCACGCCTACCTTGTGCAGGTCTCCTCCCGCGGCCTGCGCTTAGCCCGTCCTGCGAGGACCCGGCTCGTTATCCGTGCACCCACTGGTGGACGTTTGGGGTGCCCGGGTGGGGGCTTTGTGTGGGCGAAGCCGCTGTGCTCTCTGGACTCTGCACACCCTCCGTCTTTTCTCTTGAGTTTGTGCCTGGCCCCGTTGGTGCTGGGTCCCAGGACGGGGGCCGCTCCATCTTAAAGGCGCGGGTTTTCCAAAGGCGTTGCTGCCTCTGGCTTCTTTCTTGGTTAGGGGCCAGGGCCCTCCTCCGCGGCCTGACCCACGTCTCCCTTTCCCCAGAGCCACCCCCACCACCTCCCTCCAGCCCAGGGCTGGGCGCACAGCTGGGGGCTCGGGGAGCCTCCCTCCCGGGGTTGCTCCCCGCCCCCCTTTGATGTGGCCAAGCTGCCTGGGCCGGGGCCCCACCCATCTACCGGGCTCATGCCCCAGGGCGAGCGCTGCGGGCAGAGTTTGTGTCCCACAACTGAACATAAAAGGTGAGTGGTGTTCGCAGTGAACTGCCAGACACATCTTTATTCTGAGTTCAGAAACGACTGTGTGTGGTGTGTTTTTGAAACAGTGTTCAAACACTGCATATTTAGGCTGGCCTTGAACTCACTATGTAGCCCAGGCTGGCCTCAAACTCTTGGTGGTCCCCCTGCCTCAGCCTCCTGAGCGCTGGGATGATAGACCTCTACACCAGGCCCGAAATTACTTTTGCATCGTTTCAGCTTGGCCTTTCAAACACAGTTGCTAGCGACTACATTTATATTAAAAACGAAACAAGAACCCCCTCCAAAAGCAAAGCCCCGGCCCAGCGTGGGCCTCATCTGCGCTCGAGGACGTAGCTGCGGTGGAAGGAAGCAGCTGGGATGCAGAAATCCTCTGGGGCTTTGTGCTTCTCCCCAGCCGCTGCCTGGACCCTGCACACCCTGCTCCTTCAGGGTCCTTTCAGCCCGTGTCCAGGGACCCCCGCGTGTGCCCCAGAATCTCCAGGGTCTGGAGGGTGCAGCGCTCCTGTCTGCGCGGGAGGAGCCCTCGCACTCAGGGGTTCGTCTGTCCAACGCCCGAAGTGTGAAGAGGGAGATGAGGGCTGGCGGTGAGCGGGAGCCCCAAAGCCAGCACAGCGCGGCTCCTGCAACCCAGGGTGGAACGAGGCCGCCCGTCCTCCCGCCCGCCCAGCAGAGCCTCCCGTCCCTCGGCAGCCGACGCCGGGGTGGTCCTTGAGCTGCTTCCCCTGCTGTGTATGTCTCAGTAACCCCGGCGTCCTTGTTGTCCTCACAGTCTGCACGAAACCGTAGACGTCGGAAGACCCGTGGGCGGGGCGGAGAGAAATCGCAGCGCAGCCTGGGTTGACCAAGCCCCCGGGGAGCCGGGCTCTGGCTGCGCGGGCCTGGGGCCAGGGCCTCGCCACGCCCCTCCCACCGTGCTGATTGGCTCAACGCTTTGCTCAGCATCAGCCTGTTCTGTTGTAGTGAAACTGTTGGCAAAAGCCTTCCGTTAGCATCAAATTAAAATCCGGTGTCTGAAGGCAGCCGGAAGCGGAGGGGTGGGATTCTAGCTAGGCGCGCTCGCTGCCCAGGTTCGGGGCCGCGGCCCGCACTGTTCGTTTCTAGGAAGACCATCGGTTATGAGAGAGATGCAGGCCAGGAGCTTCCGAGAGACGGCCTTGTGCTGTAGCCAAAGCTGTTAGGAGAAGGAGAAACGCGTTAGGAGAGCTGATAAAAGACAGTGAAGAACTTCTCTTCTGGCCTGACTGGATGTTTTAATCGCCCTCCCTTCCAGCTAAAATCATTACCTATAACACTAGTGGGACATACTCTACATTCAGGAAAAACCCTTCTGTTTTGTTTGGGTTTGGCTTATTGAGACAGGGTGTTGCTCTGCAGTTCAGGCTGGCCTTGAGCTCACTATGGAGCCTCAGCTAGCCTCGAATCCTCCTGCCTCAGCCTCCCAAGTGCTAGAATTACAGGCATGTGCCACCATCAGCTTATTTTGGAAAGATCATTCTGCTCCACCTCCCCTGCCCTTAAAAAAACTGCAAGAGCTGGGTCTGGCAGTGCACACCTGTAACCCCTGCACTCTGGAGGCTGAGGAAGAAGGATCACTGCGAGTTTGAGGCCAACCTGGGCTACAGTAGTGAGTTCGAGGTCAGCCTGGACTACACAATGAGACCCTGTCTCAAAACAAAACACTACGAGAGAGCTGGGTGTGGTAGTACAGGCCTATAATCTCAGGACTCAAGAGGCTGAAGCAGGAGGATCACCTTGAGTTTCAGTTCAAGACCAGCCTGGGTAGCAAGACCTTGTCCAAAGAAAGAAGAAAGGAAAGAAAGGAAGAAAGAAAGGAAGGAAGGAAGGAAGGAAGGAAGGAAGGAAGGAAGGAAGGAAGAAAGAAAGAAAGAAAGAAAGAAAGAAAGAAAGAAAGAAAGAAAAAGAAAGAAAAGAAAGAAAAGAAAAGAAAAGAAAGAAAAGAAAAGAAAAAGAAAAAAGAAAGATCCAAAACACCTTCAAGAGAAAATTAAGTCCCTGTTTGCAGTTTAGGGATCTAGTCTGAATTTGTAAAATAATGTGACCTGCTCAGACTGTAGATTTAAGGAACCGGATTTCAGCGCAGGGTCATCTGACTCTAAAACACTGAGGCTTCGGCAGAGCTGTGGGGATCAGTGGGGCGGGGCGAGGGGGCGGCGTGCAGATGGGGGCAGGGGTGGGAGTGGCGCTTCCGTTGGGAGGGACCCGAGCCGGAAAACTCTGAGCAGGTCAGAGCAGCTCAGGACTTCCGGGGCAACGGGGCCACGGAAATGCAGCGCCACAGCAATAAACAGAGCCTAGACGAAGCCAGCTCGCCCGGGCCTGGGCCTTGCACTTGGGCTCCCCGGGGTCCGGGTGATTCTCCAACCCCAACCTCAGGTTACGCCTGGGAGCTTTCCTTCATCGCAGCGGTCCGGGGAAGAGCCCTTTAGCTGGGCTGCGGAGGGATCTGAGGGGATTTATCGAAGCCTGCGCATAGTCAGGTACCTTTTCTCCTGCATAGTTACAGAGTCTTAGGAAAACCCCGCCAATAGGGATGTCTCAAACCTCTTCCAGGAGGGTGAGGAGGCTGCATAGTGAGGCTCATTAAGGATGCTTCTCTGCTCACCTTCCTTCTCTGACTTAATTAGGCACTGATCCAGTAGGCATTGTATAAATATAAAAATGTCACCCTTTTTAGGGCTGCGTAGTACTCCCCATGGGTGGGATAGCACATGGATATGTGGATGTAGAAATAGCTCTAGAATCAAACTTATTCCAAGGAACTGGTTCATTCAAGTACAGAGACCAGGAAGCCACATGATCGTGTCCCTGTAAGCTGGAGACCTGGGAGAGGTAAGGGTGTAAATTCCAGTCAAGGGCAGAAGACCACTGCCATCTCAGATCAAGCTGCGGGCAGAGAGACATACCCAACCTCCCTCCCCTTTTTGTCTGCTCTGCCTGGGCGAGGGCAGTTGGCTTCACTCAGCCCGAGGTTCCCTAGAGACTCGCACCAGGCACAGCCAGAAACGTTTCACCGGTCCGACAGTGCTGCGGGGCCCACTGGCGCCGGGTCCCTCTCCCGGCTCTGCCAGCTCCGCCCACTTCCTGTCTATACGTTTGGTGCCCAGGGCAGCCTCTGTCCCTGGTGTCCCGCTCACTACTGCCCACACTGTATCCGAAGAACCACCAGAGCCTGTGTCAGAACTCCCTGCCGAGGCTGGGGGACGCCCCACCGGTGGCTGGGCTCAGATTACTCACTTACAGGGCGCAGGGCACTCCCATCTTTAGGCTACGGGCTACTTCCCTTTTCAAGATATGAAGTCTCTCTTTTTTTTTGGCGCTTGCATATAATTTTAGCACAAAAGCTTGGTAACTTCCTCTTTTCTAAGACACAAAACCGTCTTCTCCGTGGGGGACATCCCCTGGAAACACAAGCCTCACCAGCCTCCCTTGCCTTAGACCCAACCCTTTATCATGGCAATGTGCATAGACAGTCTGATATTTGGGGTTTTTTTTGTGACACTGGGGATGAAACTTGGGGCCCTCGCCCTGAGCTACACCCCCAGCTGTTTATATTATTATTATTATTATTTATTTTGATGTAGAGTTTTGCTAAGTTACCTAACCTGGACTCAAACTTGCAATCTTCCTGCCTCAGCCTCAAAGAGTGCTGGGATTACAAGCGTGCATCAGGACATCTGGCTCAATATTGACTTTTTTTTTCTTTTTTTGTTTTTTTTCCAGTACCGGGAATTGAACTCACAATCTCGCACTTGCCAGGCAGGTGCTGTGCCACTGAGCTAAATCCCCAGCCCCTCAATACTGACTTTAAATCAGGCAAAATGGTGTCAACCACTGTTGGGTTAATATCCCTTAGTTATTGTGAGCTGATCAGGTCCACAATCTCCTGAACAAGTGTATGGTGAAGGATGAATAAAAAGAGGCAAATGGGATGATTTCAGGGCTCCAGGAGGACCAAAGCCCTCTCACAGAATTCGAGATTCTCTCGGGGCTAAGACCTAGACCTTCTCTGGGTGGCCCGTGTTTATTTGGTTATCAGAAGAAGGGAGGAGGGCTGGGGATTTAGCTCAGCGGCGCAAGTGCCTGCCTGGCAAGCACAAGGTCCGGAGTTCGATTCCCAGCATCAAAAAAAAGTGGGGGGAACAGAAGAAGGGAGGGGAGTACTCAAGGTGAGAAGCCAACTGATTAATGGAAGTCCTGCTCAGGTCTGCCTTGTAGTGGTCACTTTGTCTGTGAGAGGTCGGCGTGTCCAGCTTGCTTCCTCCTTGAGTCAGGGGTGTGGACACCAGTGAGGGGCGTCCGCCGGGATCATCTCGCGCAGCAGCTCCCACCTGGGCCCACTGAAAAGCGCAGGTGCCTGAGCCTGTCCCCGAGGATCCCAACTTGGTTTCTGCAGCTAGCGGTGTGCGCTGGGCCTGCTGCCCGTGCCGAGGGAGACCAAGCACCAGGGTGCAAATTGCAGAGCCACAACAGCCTGCGCAGGCAGCCGTGTTCAGGAAACAGGGTGTGTGTGTGTGTGTGTGTGTGTGAGTGAGTGCTGGCTCCAGCTGGGAGATCCATTCAGGTTTTTGAGTCTTGCTAGAAGACGCCAAACAGTGCACTTTGCTCCTTGTCTTAGTTACTTGTCTTGTTGCTGAGACAAAATACCCAACACCCCAAGTTAGAGGGGAAAGGTTTATTTCGCTCACAGTTTGTGGAGGTTTCAGTCCATAGTCAGCCGGCTCCAAGGCAGGGTGGCACCGCAGAGGAGAAAGAGTTCATGGTGGGCAGAAGACATCCAAGCAGCAAGGGTCGACCACAGCTCGTTCTACCCCTGAATCTTCTCCAGGCTACTCACACCCTCAATCCTAGTACCCTTGACCCTAGCACTGCACCCTGAGTCAATTCCAGTGTTACCTGTCTAGATCCAGCCACCTCTGAAAAGCCCCACCTGTGGCTGCATAAGGCTTTGGGGGACATCTGGACACAAGCTGTAACACCCCTTTGGGACATCGAGAGGTGAAAAGCTCGGACCAGAGCCTTTCAGAGCAAAACATAAGGTTGGCGCCACTAGCTTTTCCTGGGGATGGGGCCCGTACCATCTGTGAGCCAAACCCTTAGCCCAGCAACGGACGCTGGTGATGATCCTGGAAGCTGAGTCAGTCCCGTGAGAGGAAGTTGGGGAGCCACGGTCGGACTGCAGCCTTTCACATTCTTGCAAAATCTGTCATGCTACTACTTGGTGTCTTCGTCTGTTTTGTGTTGCTATAATAAACTACCTGAGGCTGTGTGCTTTAGAAAGAAAGAAGTCTGACTTACGTCTTAGCTCTCATTGCTGTGTCTAAATACCCGAGACAATCAACTTATAAGAAAGGAAAGTTTACTTTGGCTCAGAGTTTGAGAAGTTTCGGGGCTGGGGATTTAGCTCAGAGGCACAGCGCCTGCCTGGCAAGCACAAGGTCTTGAGTTCAATCCCCGGTACTGGAAAAAACAAAACAAAACAAAAAAAGTTTGAGAAGTTTCAGTCCTTGGTGGCTTGGCTGGGCTCCTTGGGCCTGCAGCAGCCCAGTTCACCATGGCAGGAGCACATGGTGGAAGAGACTGCTTTCCTCATGGCAGCCAGGAAGCAGAGAGAGGGAGAGACAGGAAGAGCGGGATCCCAGTGACTCCTTCAAGGGTGCACCACCAATGACCTTCCTCCCGCTGGGCCCCTCC